TGGAGACTGTGTAGTGAATTTTGCTTTCGCCAACCTAGGGAGGCGAAATAGTGCAGTGATGGGTACTCGCGTCACCAATGACGTTATGATATTTGGATCACGTGTCAATTAAGGTGTGGTTATGAGTACATCACATAAGAAAGATTGGTGGGATCTTTAACTTGTAGAACATCTTTCTGTATCATCAACACTAGGAGGACACAAGTGTAATAAAATAGATTTTATTAACAAAAGATAGACAAGAGTAATCAACAACTAATAAATGAATACCATAAATGAAATAGGAATAAAGTGCATAAGATGCATAAGATGCATAAAATGCAAGTGATGTTGGGTGTTGCAATGTCAGAGCTACATTATCTGGAAAGATAAACTGTTGCTACTCTGAAAGAACTAAGGTGAAGAACCCTATTATGCATCAAACAAATACATGAAAGATTTGCTATAAACTGCAATCAGCTATATAATATCTAATGTAAATTAGAATAATCATATACTGGTAATATACAACAATGCCAATGTCTCTGGAAGAGGTTTGGATAAGTGATAGTTATGTTCTCTGTGGTCGAATGAGCAGTCCGATGGCGGTGACTTCATCCACTGGTTGTGCCGGTAACAATGCAGTGGGGAAAGGAACAGGAATCCGTTTCGACAGCCTTGAACACGACACGCTGGAGGATGCTGATCTCCTGGAGCACCAAACGGTCCTAAAATCTGGAACACGCAGATGTGGCCCTGGAGTAGGTGCAGAAGGTCCTTAGCCTGGAAGACGCAAGCAAATGTACCTTGGAGTGAAGGTTTGCTTGCCGGAGCTTAACATTGTTGCAGATGTCTGTGTGTCTTCTGCCTCTCTGGGCTAGAGACTCAGAACTTGGTCGATCCTCTTTCTTTCTCTGGGATGTAGACTCAGGACGTGCTGCATCTGCTGTTGTCTCGCGGGACGAAGACTCTGAATGAAGTCTGAACGGTAAGATTATCTCTTTCCTTGCAGGCTGGAGGCTCAGAACGTGGTTGTATCTGTTGCTGCCTCGAAGGTGGAGACTCAGGACTTGGTTTCTGTTATTGCCTCTTCCCTCACGGGCCAGAGGTTCAGAACGTTGGTGATCTGTTGCAGTCCTTTCCTTGACAGGACTCAGACTCAG